ACCAAACAAAACAGAAGAGAGAAAAAAATATATAATGGGAGACACCAACACGAATAAACTTCTCTCTCTCTCTGCCCACATCACACACCCACAAAGAAAACCGCGGCAAAATTCGTAGGTTAATTTTGCTGAGAATTCGCCACGCGCTTTGTAAACCTCAGCGAAAATAAGCCCCGGGGGTTGTAAACCTCAAATAGATTAGTGTTTTGTTCTTTGTTGGAAAAAAGGTGTTGAAGTTGAGACATTATCGAGGCATAGGTTAGTGTGCAGCTCTCTCTGTCTGCTGTCTGTCTGTTCTGTCTGTTCTCTTGTTCTGTACTTCTCTCTCTCGTCCCTCTCCTCTCTCTCTCTCCTCTCTCTCCTCTCTCTCTTCTCTTCTCTCTCGTCTCTCTCCTCTCATCTCCTTCTCTCTCTCTCTCTCTCTCTCTCTCTCTCTCTCTCTCTCTCTCCTCTCTCTCTCTCTCCTCTTCTCTCTCTCTCTCTCTCTCTCTCGTCTCTCTCTCTCTGTCTCGTCTCTCCCTCTCTCTCTTCTTCTCTCTTCTCTCTCTCTCTCTCTCTCCTCTCTCTCCCTCTCTCTCTCTCTCTCTCTCTCTCTCTCTCTCTCTCTCTCTCTCTCTCTCTATATATTATATATATAATATATATAATATAATATAAATATGTTATTAATGTATATATGTATATATCCCTGCGTTGTGTGTGTGTTGATATGTGTGCTGTGTGTTGTGTGTGTGTGTGTCGTGTTTGTGTTTGTTTGTGTTGGGTGTAGTGGTGTGTGTGTGTGTTGGTGTGTTATTCTGTGTGTGTGTGTGGTATGTGTGTATGTTGTATGTGGTGCGCAACAAAAAAGCTGGAGAATGAACTATTGAGTGAAAAAGTATTTGCCCAATACTGAGCAAAGCGACGACGCAGCTGGAGGTCAGAACAAATGCTTCCTGTAAACAATCGCACACCAAACCGGACGCATCCTTGGAGCACCGTGTGTAAAATGGAAAAATATAATACTAGACATTGTGTAATATTCCATGAATAGGGGCTGCAGGTTGTGAGTAAGTAAGGTGGATTAATAGTAATGTTATTATACCCCGACCAAGAAGTAATGCGAATAAAAAAGAAAATACGTCCACTTCCCCCACCAAAGACAAGAAAGACACAGCCGAATTGCGCTTTTCATGGTGAAATATTAACCGGAAACTTCCCCCAATAAGCCTT